TGGAGACTTGGAGTAGTTTAAGGGTCACATTCATTTCTCAAGTTCCCTGGGACTAAACAACGAAATATTTCACTGTTTAAAATGACTTGTAAAGTACTATAGTGATTCTGAGAATGCTTTATTTTTTTGTTTATTTTCTCATACCCTCAAACCTTCATGCAACCCTATGTACAACAGAACAAAACACTGCCTGGTCATGTACCAAACCTGGTGGGTTTTATTTCTGGAATCATTCAAATTCCATTTATAGCTATTACACAGAGTGGATGCTCAAACTAGATGCAAATGTCATTTTTAGTCCATTTTCAAAATTACTATTTAGTCTACATATTAAAAACAAACAAACAAACAAACTCACTGCCATCGAGTTGATTGCTCTTTGTGGCTCCCACTCAGTTTCCAAGGCTGTAAATCTATAGAGAAGCAGACTGCCATCTTTCTTCTGCAGAGCAGCTGGTAGGTTCGAATCACTGACATTCTGGTTAGCAACCAAATGTCTTAACTATGTTTTTCTGGTCATACATAATATCTTAAGAAACTTTATGAATGATAAAAGTTCCATTTTTACCATACCTCCCACAAATCACTATGCCCTCTTCCCTGTTCACGTTTGTAGGTTAAGTGTATATTCCTCCAGTTCTTTTTACATTTATTTACATAGAGAAGTGTACACCACAATAAAATAAAACTACTGTTTTGAGGGGTTTGTTTTTGTGTAAAGGCATCACTTAATACATTTGTTCTGCAACTTGCCTTTTTTTCTCCATTCAAAAAATGTGTCTTGGAGATTTTTTCATGTTTGTATACCATCTACATCCATTGAGTCTATTTCAACTCGTAAGAACCAGATAGGAGAGAGCTAACTGCCCCATAGGGTTTCCAAGGCTGTAATCTTTACAAAAGCAGACTGCCATATCTTTCTCCCATGGAGTGGCTGGTGGGTTCAAACTGCTGGCCTTCTGATTAGCCCCCAAGCACTTAACCACTGCGCTGCCAGGGCTCCTTTTCATAGCATAGTATTTAGTAACTGGATATTCCATACTTAATCTAGCAGTCAAATGCCTTAGGCACTACACCACCAGAGCTCCTGATGGGAAATTAGATGTTTCTAATTATTTCAATACTACAAACAATTTGAAAAATAACATCAGTAGTCAGTTGATACAACCTTTGCAAGGAATTCTGCCACTACTAGTGCAATTTTTTTTTCCTATAGTTCATGTCTCTTATTAACCCATACATAATTATTTTCCAGTTTGTTGAAGCATCAGGTTAGACAACACTTGCCACAGTAATGTGTAACAAGGTGGCAAGCCATCCAAACTCTAGCACTGCACTCAGCTGAAAGGCATGCCAATGAAGGCAGGCTCATTTTGCCATTCCCATCCACCTTACAGTCTTGTGGTGGCTGGCTTTAACCTTCTTCCTCTTAGCTTATTCTTCCTGGGAGCAGTGTAAGACTTCCTTTCTTTTCTTACCCCACCACAAAGTCTCAACACAAGATGAAGAGTGGACTCCTTTTGAATGTCGTTATCAGACAAGGTCTGTCCAAATTGCAGCTGCATGGCAGCAAAGATGTTTCTCCTGATCAGGAGGAATTTCTTTCTTGTCTTGGATCTTGGCCTTTACATTTTCTTTTGTATCTGAAGGTTCAACCTCAAGAGTGATGGTCTTCCCTGTTAGGACCCTTACAAAAATCTGCTTCCTGGTGGTGGTTCCAACACAGATGGCAAATCAGAAAGGAAGCTGGCTGTGATTTTGAACAAGTTATTTAACCTCTCTGTGCCTCAATTCCTCATCTGGAAAGGAGATTCTGATATTACCTAATTTACAGGATTGCAGTGAGGACTTAAATAAACTGATACATGGATGTTGTTGTCATTAGGTGCCATTGAGTCAGTTCCAACTCACAGCAACCCTACATACAACAGAACGAAAACACTGCCTGGTCATGTACCATGCGCACAAATGTTGCAGCCACTATGTCACTCCACTTCCACTTCTTTGAGGGTCTTCCTCTTTTTCACTGACCATCTACTCTACCAAGCATGGTATCTAGATTTTTCTAGGGACTGGTCCCTTCTGACAACATGGCCAAAGTATGAGAGGTAAAGTTTCACCATCCTCACTTCTAAGGAGCATTCTGGCTGTACTTCTTCCAAGACAGATTTGTTTGTTCTTCTGGCAGTCCACAGAATATTTAATGGTCTTCTCCAACACCATAATTCAAATGATTCAATTCTTAAAAACAAAAAACAAAACCCACTGCCATAGAGTCAATCCAGACTCCTAGTGACTGTAGAGGACAGAGTAGAACTGCCCACAGGGTTTGCAAGGCTATAAACCTTTACAGAAGCAGACTCCCTCATCTTTCTCCTGCAGAGCAGCTGGTGGGTTTGAACAATGACCTTTTGGTTAGCAGCCCAATGTTTTAACTACAGAGCCACCAGAGCTCCTCTCAATTTCTTAGGCCTTCCTTATTCACTGTCCAGCTTTTGCATGCATATGAAGCAGATGAAAATATCATGGCATAAGTCAGGTGCACTTTAGTATTCAAAGTGACATCTTTATTAACATTGTAAAGAGGTCTTTTGCAGCAGATTTGCCCAATACCTCATTTGATTTTTGACTGCTGTTTCCACAGGCATTGATTGTGGATCCAAGAAAAATGAAATCCTTGACAACTTCAATCTTTTACTTATCATGATCTCATTTATTAATCCAGTTGTGAGGATTTTGTTTTCTTTATGTTGAGAAGTAATCTATACTGAAGGCTGTAGTCTTTGATCTTCATCAGTAAGTGCTTCAAGTCTTTACTCTTGGCAAGCAAAGTTGTGTCATTTGCCTATCACAGGTTGTTAATGAGACTTCAATCTTGTTGTTGTGTTCTTTTTCACATAGTTCAGTGTCTTGGATTATTTGGTGGCTAACATGTTGCTGTGATGCTGGAAACTATTGTACTGTTTTTTTGGTGTTTTTTAAACACCATGGTGGACAGCTTTCTGCAGCGCTTCCTTACTAAGACAAACTTGGAAGAATGACGTAGCAGCTTATTTCTGAAAAACTGGCCACAGAATTCCTTATGAATAGCAGTGGCACATGTGGTGTCAGAAGATGAGCCCCTCTGGTTGGAAGGCACTCAAGATACAAATGGGGAAGAGTGGACTCCTGAAAGTAGAGTCAAACTTAATGACATAGCTGAATTAAAGCTTTTGGGACCTTTGTTTGCTGATGTGGCATGACTCAAAATGAGAAGAAACAGTCGTAAATAGC